CTTATAATTAATTTTAATAGGGGGTGCGATCGTCCCGTCGTCCAAGCCACGAGCCGCCATACTAAGTATAGTTAATTATTTCATTAGTTATTACAATATCCTTGTGTATTTTGTAGCTTTATGTTATCTTACGAGAAATTCTAATATAAGTTTAATAACATTTGTATATCTAAATAAGAGAAGTTTAAACAACAATTAAGAATACATAAGTGCTTTTGTTTGACGACTCAAGACATGTTGTATATTATACTTGTAGTTTATTACTCAAAATTGTAGAGTATTTTCATTTGCAGATTTAATGTAATATAATATATTATGGTTGTACTAGTAAGCACATTAAAACATCTATATGATGCATTTATAAACTTTTAATTATGAAAAATATAATAATTTTACTAAAGTTATATTTATTTAGTTAATGATCGTTACTTTTGCTGTTATTAATCGTTGAAAGTTGAGAAGGAATTCTTTTCTTAAAATGAGAAAAATATCTGAAAACATCAGCACTTATTTTAAAGTTAATTATTTTATTTAATTTTAAATTGAAGTTAATTTTTATATAATTAAATTGGACGTAAATGAGTTATCGAAATTGGTATTCAAATCATTTAAGGAATAACATGACTGCGACAGTAATGTTATATTTTAGCATGTTAGTGAATTTAGATTTGTTGGAAGACATGTAATGGCTATAGTACATAATATTTTGCGACAGTCAACATATTTTATTTTTAGCCAATTTTTCTAGTATATTTTAAGGAGCTTCTTGGCGTTTGAGCGCCAGAAAAATAAATGAATAATAGAATAAACTTCTAAATGGTCCACTAGGTGAAATAAAACTTTTAACGCTATGCTAAAACAATGAATAGTTTTAAATGCACACAATAATACTTTAGTTTATCTAAAAAAAGGATTTTCATGGAAAAATGTAAAAAGTAAAATTAATCAATAATTTATGTCAAAAGATTTAGTTTGATGAATAGCTTGACATTATTATTTAATATTAAAAAAGAGGTGAAATAAACAATATAAAAACATATGAAGTAATCTAAGTAATAGTTAAAAAAAAATGTTTAAAAGTAAATATATTATTAATTAAAAATGTAAAAGCTTTTTAAAACATTAAAAACATTTATAAAAGTGTCACACACATCAGTGTTTTATTTAAGAGTTGTCATAGTTTTATAGAGAATTTGATTGATAATTAATTTTTTTTATTGAACTTTCATTGTTTATTTTTTTGTAAAATTTTTTCATCTAGTATCTTAATTTTTAAGTATGCATAGTAGCCATAGTGTTTTTTACGTTAGACCCTAATTACAGTCATTAGATACAGAAGCACCATAATCCATGAATGGTGTCAAATACAAAATACAAATTATCTCTATTCAACCGCAGGGTGGGAATTTATATAAATACTGTGACAGACCGACAAGGGTTAGAAAGTTTACGTTTGCATGTACGCACACCCTTAAGGATTAAACAACGGTTTGTTCTGAAAGTCCCAAGAAACTTCTAGAGTAAAATAAATATAAATACACTTAAGTTAAGAAAGTCCTGAAACTTAAAAAATATAAAAACATCATGACGCATAATTTATATTATATTAGTTATGAAAGTAATTTTAAAACAATTCCAGACATAAATATACGTGTTGTATATCTTCTTTTACAAATATTTCAACGTATTACCTTTATTTCGATTAAAATTTTTTTTATTTAATTTAAAAAATGAAGTCATTGAATTTCATTTAAAATTATTTATCAAGATCAATTGACTACTTAAAAATATTAAAAAAGAATTCCTTTTTTTTTCATTCAATATTATATACACAGAGTAATAGAGTATTAATTATGATAAAAGAACACGACTACTTGATGATAAAGCCAACGATTACATATTCACATTCATTTTCTTAATATTAAAAAAAATAATTCTAATTAAATAATTTTTGTAAATAAATTGTCATAATATGCAAAATTTCGTTGCATTGCACATATTACAAAAATTGTACACCAAAAATCTGTGGTAACATTTACACTGTTGTATACTATTAATTCTATATGTATATATGTTAACTTGGTCATTGTAAAAAAACTATACATCTTAGCTTAAAATAATCAATATCATAATTTGCTTATATTTTATTTTAAAGGAAAAAAATTCGGTAAAATACATTTTATTAATGTACAATAGATAAAATTTTTTATGTGTTTTAAATCAAAAGAGATCTTGCATCGATAACGATAATATACGTTTTTACATTCAAGCAATAATTATTTTCGTAGAAAAAACCAATAGTATTATTATCAATGCAATAATAAGATCTTTTCTGGTGTAAAAAATTGGTGGATTATTCCAAAAGCTACTTGATATCCTATTTCCTTATTTATATTCTGATTACAAGTTTTATGATTTATAAGTGTAATATATTACACTTATATATTACGTTCAGTAATTCGGCGCCCCAATATTATCGTTAAAATTTTTTAAAAATTCGTTCTACAGCGTAATTTTCTGGAAGTTTGAAAGTAAACAATCATGAAAATACTTGAACATACTTGCACTTTACTCCGTACTCCTGTTGTTGTTTAATGTTTTGTTTTTCTTCATTTAACACACCGTTTTTACAGCCCATGGACCAAAATGTCATTCAACAAATAAAAATCAACTACAAAAAAACTCTATTGAGCGACGTCATAAAGCAGTTTGACGGAATCATTGAATTTTTAAAAAAAAACCAACATTAAAGACGTTTATAGCCTAGCCCACAGCTGGATAAAGTCAAGAGCGAGAATATCCAGTGTTCATGGAAGAATGTTTGGCTCAACCACTCTGCCTTCATTTCGGACGAGGTGGACGATGATAACTCCAAGATCTCAACTCAACCGTTAACTTCCGAATTTCTAGATGAGTTATTAAAAAAATGTGAAGGTGACTTAACTCTTGCCAACGACGACGTACAAGATTGGTTACACGGGGCAGGCGAGGAGGGAATTCTATCACTCACTGATGATGAAATAATTAGCGAGATTTTGACCGATGACAACGATGATGACGACCAGGAAGTGACGACCAAGCGAACTGTGACCAACAATGAGGTATTAAATGCACTAAACGTATGCACAAAATGGGCGAAGAAAACGATGTCCCTAGCTCCGACATGATGACTTTAAAAAGAATTAAAGAAATGGCTTTCAATAAAGTATATAACAAGGCGAAGAAACAAAAAAAAATTAATGTATATTATTCATAAAAATATGTATGTACATATTGTTAATTATGTAAAATTAGTATGAATACATACATATAACTTTTTTTTTTATGTTATAATCTTTTTTTCTAACTATCCCGATAATCTGGAATTTTTGAGAATCTGGCACTTTTTCGGTCCCATATGTGTCTGATTATCAAGATCGTACTGTATATATTTATAAAGGGAAAGGATCCGATTAAAAAAAAAATATGTTGCATTATAGACGAATATAAATAGTACTTATCTTAAAAAAATTATAATGATTCATTTTTCATAAATTTTTCAAAAATTTATAGCATTATAAAATTAAACATATAAAAAAGAATTTTTATTTATATAATTATAATTACAATTACAATTATCGCACAATTTTTTATACCTATAATTAGCAGTATTATACTTAAAGTTTATTATTAAAAATCCCAGCACAGTGGTGACGTGGCATAGTTGGGTCCAATATAGATGATATCTGACAGTGATTAAAATCACTATCAAAAAAACGCTTCGATGCAAATCTTTAGATAGTGATTAGTTTTAAAAAATTGGTTGATTATTCCAAAAGCTACATGATCTGCTATTTCTTTATTTATATCCCGTTTAAGATAAAGTATGTCGAATAAAAGAGAAATATAAATATTATTTCTCATAAAAATTGTATTGATGTAAAATGTAAAAAATAAAATCAAGAATTTTCACACAAAAATAGCATTCGGTAGCCATTTTCACCATGAAGACAAAATAAAGTCCGAAATTTTTTTTTTCCATAATAAAGTATATTACATTAGCTTTAATTTAAGATATATATAAAAGTGTCAGACTTTCCGGAACACTTTCAAAAGTTAAGTTGAAAAAATTAATTTTTTGTGAAAAAGTTGTCATTTTAAATCCCCCCTGTGTGCAGGTAAAGGGTGAGATTTATAAAATATACCAAATTATAGGTAAGGACATTATGTATCTATAAAAAAACAATTATATTGATCCATACATTTTTTAAAAAGTTATAGCAGTATAAAGTTAAAAATAAAAAAAAGAATTTTTTTCAAAAAACGTATTTTAGCTTCGATGCGAAGCTGAGAAGGTATTGGTTTTACAATGATGTGTTTTTTTTTTTTTTTGTCTGTTACCACTTTTTCTCAGCTCTCAACGAACCGATTTCTTTCAATGATACGTCAAAAGATCACAAATCGTATCTAGTCGAAGACGTTACCCTCGAAAATTGAAAAAAATCTCCTCGTTCCCCGTAAATGGGGGAAACCTCCAAAAAAATTACAAATTTAAAAATCGCTAATTTTCAATTTTTTTTACTAAAAACTACCATAACTTTTTTAAAAATGAACATATCAATAAAGTTTTTTTTATATAGATGCATGATATCATTACCTTTCATTTGGTATATTTTTTTTTTATATGTGACCCTTTACTTGCCCACAGAAGGGGATTTAAAATGACAACTTTTTCACAAAAAATTAATTTTTTCAACTTGATTTTTGAAAATGTTCCGGAAGGTCTGACACTTTTATATATATCTTAAATTAAAGCTAATGTAATATACTTTATAATGGTAAAAAAAAATTTCGGACTTTATTTTATCTTCATGGTGAAAACAGACATTAAACTTAATAAAAAAAATACGATTTTTGTAAAAAAATTCTTTTTTATATTTTTAACTTTATAATGCTATAACTTCTCGAAAGATGTATGGATCAATATAATTCTTTTTTTTGTAGATGCATGATGTCTTTACCTATCATTTGGTATATTTTTTTTATAAATCTGACTTTTTACCTGCCTACAGGGGGGGATTCAAAATGACAACTTTTTCACAAAAAATTGACTTTTTCAACTTAAATTTTGAAAGTGTTCCGGAAATTCTGACAATTTTATATATATCTTAAATTAAAGCTAATGTAATATACTTTATCATGAAAAAAAAAAATTTCGGACTTTATCTTATCTTCACGGTGAAAATGGCTACCGAATGCTATTTTTGTGTGAAAATTCTCGATTTTATTTTTTACATTTTTAACTTTATAATGCTATGACATATTGAAAAGTGTATGGATCAATATTATTTTTTTATGAAAAGTAGTATTTATATAAATCTTTCATTTGACATACTTTATCTTAATTAGGATATTATTAATGAACTAGCAGATCATGTAGCTTTTGGAATAATCCACCAATTTTTTAAAATTAAACACTATCTAAAGATTTGCATCGAAGCGTTTTTTTTTGATAGTGATTTTAATCACTGTCAGATATCATTATACTTGATCCATCTATGCCACGTCACCACTGTGCCGCGACCCCCCTGTGCTGGGTTTTTTTTATTAACTTTGATATACATTTTTATCATGAAAACAAAATAAAGTACGAATTTTTTTTTTTTCACAATAAATTATATTTTATTAGCTTTAATTTAAGATATATATAAATGTGTCAGACTTTTCGGAACACTTTCAAAAATTAAGTTAAAAAAGGTGTCATTTTGAATCCAGGTAAAGGGTCAGATTTATAAAAAATATATACCAAATGATAGGTAAATACCTCATGTATCAATAAAAAAAAATTATATCAAATTTAAAAAAGGTATGGCAGTTTTAAGTAAAAAAAATTGAAAAATTTCGAAAATTAGCAATTTTTAAATTTGTAAATTTTTTAGAGATTTCCTATATTTATGGGGAACGAGAGAAATTTTTTCTATTTTTGAGGGTAATGTCTTCGATTAGATACGATTTGTGATCTTTTGACGTATTGAAAGAAATCGGTTCGGTAAGAGCTGAAAAAAAGTAGTAACAGACACAAAAAAAACACATCATAGTAAAATGAATACCTTCTCAGCTTCACATCGAAGCTAAAATGTTTTTTAAAAATATCAAATTGGTCAAAAGTTAAAGAACATGTTGGATTACCTGTTTAGTTGGGTATATCAAAATTGTGAATAATGAAATGACTACAATTATTGATTCGTTTTTTCAATGTGCTCAAATTACGCCATCATTCAGTTAGTCGATACAGTTTTTGAATTGTTTTAAGAAGATTGAAAGTTTTTAATTTTAGAAAATATTTGCCAAAGGCAAATAGTGACATACTTTTATAATTATTTTAAATGATTTTTTTATTTATGAGTTGTTTTATGATAAATATAATCCATCAAATTTTCCAGAACACTTAAAAATATTATTTATATAGTTTTAGTCTTAGTTTTAGTTATTATCGAAGTGGACATAATGCCCATGCACCCAGACCTGTTGGTCCATTGTGCGCACCTCATATCGAATTGTCTTGATTCGATTTACCCACCTAAGTATTATCACCAAAGTGTTAATACATTACCAACCATAAGTCATCTCTAAAGATGACCAAAGAGTCCTGTCTTTCTGGCGAAATTAAGTATCTCTCTGGGTTTTAGGTTTTTAATATCTTTTTTTTCAGGAAAAGGTTTATTCAAGTAGTTTGATCTTAGCGTGGACAAGGCTTCACATTCGCACATGATATGAAATGAGTCTTCCTCTTCTACTCCACACTTCCTGCACAATGGTGATTCCGATACCCCCATTGCGTTAAGATGTTTAAGCAGGTGACCATGTCCTGTCAGTAGATCAGTCAGGGTGCTTATTTGATGTCTAGTCATGCTATTAAGATCACCCAGCAATAGACCAGGGGTCTTGATAAACATTTTAGATTGTCTAGGTACTACCAAGTACTTCCAGATTTTCCTGTGTTGTTCTCTGCACCAATTCTTGGGTAACGCTTTGAGCGATTGCTCAGTGAGTCCTACCACTGGTTCTGGTCCAACATAGGTGTTCTCTGCTCCTTTCCTGGCTAGAAAGTCAGCATTCTCATTTTCAGTGACACCGTTGTGTCCCGGTACCCACACTAGTGTAACTTTGTTGAACCTCGATAGTGATTCTAAAGTTTCCCTGCATTCGAGGACCAGCTTTGAATTCACCTGATCGTTACAGAGTGCTTTCAAAGCCGCTTGACTACCACTAAAGATAGTTATCTTCCTATTTTTGTATACCAGCAAGTTCTGAGCCCCTACCAGTATCGCCATCACCTCTGCTTGGAAAACAGAGGGTGTTGTGCCCAATGACATACTGACATTTATTCGTGGCTTTAAGCCCCAAATTCCAGCACCTACCTTTCCTGATTTTTTGGATNTTATTATTATTTATATAAATACGACAATTTGTGAAATTCATAAATGTTATACATACCTAATATGTACTACCTAATATGAAATATAATAAAAACCCAGCACAGTTGGATGGCGGCACAGTGGGGTCGTGGCATAGTTGGGTCCAGTATAGATGATATTTGACAGTGATTAAAATCACTATCATAAGAAACGCTTCGATGCAAATCTGTAGATAGTGTTTAATTAAAAAAAAAAATTTGTTAAAATAGCATATTTTTGAATATGGTAGCCATTTGCGCATAGAAGATAAGATGTCGGGACAAATTTTTTTTTTCATTTTATAGTACATAAAATAAGCTTTAATTTGATATATGTTTGAAGGACGCAGTATTTCCGGAACATTTTCAAAAATTAAGTTGAAAAAGTTAGTTTTTGTAAAAAAGTTACTATTTTAAATCCCCCCCATGAGCAGGTTAAGTGATAGATTTTCAAAAAAATGATATTAAATGAAAGGTAAATATCTAAAGTTTTAGTATAAAAAAAAATTATGTTAATTTGTTGATTTTTCAAAAAGTTATGGAAGTTTTAAGAAAAAAAAGTGAAAAAATTTCGAATATTAGCGATTTTTAAATTTGTAATTTTTTTGGATATTTCCCCCATTTTCGAGGAACGAGGGAATTTTTTTCAATTTTTAAGGGTAATGTCTCCAACTAGATACGATTTGTGATCTTTTGACGTATTTTTGAAAGAAATCGGTCCAGTGAGAACTGAGAAAAAGTGGCAACAGACATAAAAAAAAAAAAAAACACATCATAGTAAAATTAATACCTTCTCCGCTTCGCATCGAAGCTAAAAAGATTTGATTTTAAAAGAACAACAATAAGGAATAAGAATGTACTCTAAAATTATTTCATATCTTAAAATACATGGGACCAATTTAATGGTTTAGAATAATTACACAACACGAACTTTTTAATGCAATTGAGGTCAATCTGGAAGGCTAGTCCAAAACAAATAATTGCTATAAAATTAAACTAATTATGACATATTGTATTCTGGCATAATATTGTAATTATTTGTTAATGCTTTATTATTTATTTTTTTTTATGCTTTTTTGTTTTTAATTGTTATGCTTTATTATTTAGATTTTTGTTCGTGGCTGTGTTTGTAAATAACGTTTAAAGTAATTGAATGAATGAATAGTAGTAAGAAATATTTTATAAATTTAAAAGTTCATAATTTTTATTTGATGATAATCACTTTTAAAATTAATAAATTTACAATAGATTAAAAGTGGTGTATTTTGGTTATTTTTTTCTGGCTGAAGCACAATGAAAAGTGCTTTTGGTAGCCAAGTATAACAACACAACGAATTTTATTATCAATTATTATTAATGAACATCAATTTTAAACAGTGTTGAATGATCGTTAACTTGAATATTAAGAACTATCTATAACTATTTTTGGAAAACACATTTTTAATAAAAAATAATTTTTACTTTATTTAGAGCTGTATGTTATCAATGATTTAATTTAATTTAAATATTGAACTACCATACTGACAGTGTTTTTTTCCACTTTTTAAATAAAATGAAAACTATCTAGACATCGATAAACATCAGATGCTTCTTTTATAGGTCTTAGAACAATTATTAATTTTTATAATTTATGAGTTAAACGATAAACTAATAACATCGTAATTATCATTGTTATAATTTTTTAAAGCTCGATAAGATCAGCGCATTGTTTCGTCGTATGTAAATTATTTTTAAATTAATTAAACATTTAATTCTTTTAAATGAATATATGTGTTATGCGGAAAGAGAAAGTTAATGATCCTTTTGTAGAATAAAACATTAGCATTTAGGTATCTCCAAAGAACAACTGCTCCCTCAGGAAGAATAGGTTAAAATTTAATTTACCTACATTTACAGGACTAAATGAGCGTGATAAATTCTGATATTACACCTTTTTTGAGAGGAAGTAAATGCTCATGAGAGGGTATGTTGGACTTATGCCCACATTTGTCAGTTTACTACAGATTTCGCTTTCAATTTGCACCAACAACAGATTATAATATACACATACATATAACAAATAGTAAGTTATGGGTTCTGCCTTTTTCTGGCTGTTAAGCATGACGTTGTTTTCCCAGTTATCAGTACCATTACTGTACATTGGCTTATAGCCCAGAAAATTTTTCATATACCAATACATAGGTGCACAACCACCTAAAATTTCTGTTAGTTGTAAAAGTTCTGCAATTACATTTACATGCTATTCTTACACCAAACGTATAAAATACTTGTTACGTATTATTAGAGAACTATTTATCATATGAAATATTGAAAACGAAATAATTATTTTTATTGGTTCATTAATTTTAATCAATAATATATGTTTTGTAATTATAAAATATGAAAGCATACTATTATATTTATAGCAAATACATTTCCGAAACTTTCTATAAAAAAAAAAAAAAGAGGATTTGCTGGTTGTACTTGAAAAGTCATTAAGAGTTAATAGTTTGGACATCAGCCAGTAATCTTTAAAATAAGATTTATTTTGATATTTTTAACTAGTATAATTTAATTGTATTAATATTCAGGGAATTTTAATAAACAGTATTTGGATTTTAAATGTTTAACAAAAAATACAAGTTCAAATGTCATTAACTTTAAAATCATTACTGTAAAAAACATTCCTGGAATATGGATTATTAGTTAAGCATGTTTAATATATATAATTGTTGTAATACAAATTTATTGTTTTATCTTTAAGTGACATTGCATTCAATAATATTTAAAAAATTGTTTAGATTTTCGAATTATAATTATATATTAGCTGATTGTAAGTATTATTGTTCACATTATAGTTATTAATCAAACTGCATGAAATGCATATTTTATAGCAAGATAAAATTGATTTGTGTACTTATATTGCTAACAATTTATATCATAAAAAAATAATATTTTTTAAGATTAATTAATAAAACATAAATTATAGAGTCTATATTTAAGTACATATTATATAGATATAATGTATTCCGTTATATCGTATATAATATATACAATATAACGAAAATTCAAGTACTACTATATTAAAATAAATATTATCATATCACATGATAATATGTATTTAATTATTTATAATTAATGATATATTATTTCTATAAAAATAAAATGCTAAAATTTATATAAATTAACGTAAATAGTTGTATTATAACCAATTAATATTTTAAAGTAGTCAAAATGACATTTTTGCCATAATTTTTCTTAAATATGTAACTTGGACATCTATAAAGTTTCTTTTAATATGGTATTAAGCGATTAGATTTGAATTACGAATGTATTTACCGCAGTGTAAAAATAAAATATCCATATCCAATACACTGCCTCTACAAAATTAAATACTACTTTAAAAAATGATTCAAAATAGAAACTATGTTATTGAATATTTAGACATTTTTATTATTATTTTTTCCACATTCTAATTTGTAACCATTTTGTAAGTCTTTCTATTTGGTTTATATCTGTAAGCATAAACCAAACAGATTTTTTTCATCAAACCAAATAGGGGTCATTCTTGTCAAAACACTTAAACTGTCTTAGGTTTTGCTAAAAATTTAATATCGCCTTTTGTCATTTATACTTAAATAAAATAATATTGTTTAACCTATTTAATTTTAACTAGACTACTTTTTTTTCCATTGTAATAAATAAAAATTAATACAAAATGAAGAAATTTCCAATCTAGTAGTTACCAAAAATTTTTTTGCAGTGGGATCTAGGTCCTCTGCAAAGTTTATTATTAAATTTGTATAAACTGTTAAAATGTGACAATATCATTAGGAAATAACATCATTTAATGGTAAATTGACTAGGTAATAAGATCACTAGGGGTGTATTAGAAACTATTTTTCAGTAGTGGTGTCAGTATGTGTTTGACACTATTATCAGTGTCAAACACATACTGTTTCCGAAATACGTTTACGCGATTTTTTTTTGTATTATTTGTGTTATTTGAATTAAATATATTTTAGTTTTAAATTAATACTTTTAATTTTAAATAATATTAGTAATAAATAATCATCAATTCTTACAATGTAACGCAATAAAACTGAACCAATATTTTTTAAGCGTATTCAATTTTTTTCTCTAGGGAAAGGTAAGCTTTAGTAGGTAAATATTCATTTTTGAGTAAGTATTCAAGAATAGGTATTCTCATGCATTATTTTTAATCAATTTATATTTTACATCATCTCAAATAAACTTCTTTACATTGATTTATATCTATATAGTTAACACGATATACGTTCTGAGTGTAACTTTACACATAAAAGTGTATTATACTATAGAATCCATAAACCAATCAATATAGTAAAACTTGAACACCTACGAATAAAACGTCAAATTATAAATGTTTTCATCATTTGGATTTCATTATCTCAAACCGGTATTCTCTGAATAAACTATAAAATCTGTCCTAAAATGTCTACATTGAAAAAATCCTCCTGTTAATTCAGAAATGCATTATAAAAATACATTTAATAAACTTTTGGTTAAATGAACCATAGTTTTTGTTAATTTAACCTTTATTTTTATCAGAAGAATAATATATTGATCAAATTAACAAGTATTTTTATAAACTAATATAAAATATAATTCAACTAATAAAAAACTATTTAACAGTTCTTTTATTGGATGTATGTCAATATAAAATTTGTTAGGAAAGCGTAGTCTCTTGACATCAATGGTTTTAAATCTAATTGTACTTCTAAGCGAACAATTAATTGATTAAAATATTTATGAAAAATCCTAATTTATTCATTAAAAATTACATGTTTTTCTTTATTTATAATTTTATATAATTATATTTATTTCATGTAATATCTAAGTGGCCCGGCATGTTCTCACCATTTTTATAAATTTTAATCAAATAAATATTTTTTTAATACATACTTTTGAACTCTAATAATCTTAAAATTTATAATACTGTTTTTATTTTTAAGAAAAA